ATGAGGTCACCACGAAGATTCTTCACACACACAAGTTTAATGGGATATTTGAAACACGAAAAAACATTGACTAAATTGGTTTCAATAGATGCTCTCAAATTTCTGAAAATTCGTCATCTTTTCGAAACCGAAAATCCTGAAAGTCGAAATTATTTTTATTTTTCAAAAAAGTCCATTTCCAGGTGCCTTATGCGGCTGTTTCGGTGTCACCATCACATTTTTTGCAATTCATTTCGTATTCCGGTATTTTGCTCTAGAAAGGTAACTTTTTTCCGACTTCTCAAAGTTTCTGAAATCCCTAAAACTCCAATTTTCAGACAAGGCCGTTTGTCCTATTTCCAAGGGTGTTATTTCGTAATTTGGCTCACGATTCCAGTAATTTTCGGAGTTTTATGGGGAATGACAATTGGTTATTTTGTGGGACCGGATGCAGAAAAAACCGAGTATTTGAGGTAAGAAATCCAAGTAAAAAAATAAATTAGAGAAAAAGGAAAACGTTAATTGTTTCTTGAAACTGTCAGACCCTTGAAACCATTTATTTGAAAGTGTAAAAAAATTCAAAAAAAAAAGTACAGTACCAGCCAAAATTAGCATGCTTCTTGAGCATTTTTAGAGAAGGATTGTTTGAAGGCATATTCGAAATGCTAATTATTTTTCGAAATTATCTGACTCATGAAAATGCATGTTTGAAACTGTAAAAAATGTTGGAACATAAGAGAAAAACAGTCTATTGTCAAAGATTACAAAAGTGCTTCAAAACTGTCCGATTTCTGCGAAAATGTCAGATTATGATAAACAAAAATAAAGCTTCAATTTTGTAATTTACAACTTTCTTTTACAAATTCATCCAAATAAGATAAATCGCTTTAAACTTTCCCCCTTCTTAGCACAGTACTATTTCATGGAAAAGAGGTTTATCTCATTTGGACAAAATTGTACAAAAAAATGTCAACTACAAAATTCAAGCCCTTATTTTGTTTAGTATACTCTAAAATTTTCAGACGAATCGAAATATTCTGGACCACTTTTGTAGGGTCTTGCCTATAATTTTAGGGCTCTTTACTGTACAAATACTTTAAACATAACACTCAAATTTTGCAGAGAAAGCATTCTAACCAGCTACAACTTATCCATGGATGACGTCACTTATGTCGGATCTGTTTATTGGAGGAAAAAAGAAGATGGAGGGGAAGAAATTGTCTTGGATAGTATAATTGCGATGGTAATTTTTATGGCTATGATGGTAAGAGCAGCATTGAACTTTGTATTGTTTGGTGAAAATGTCGATTTCATGAAGATATGAAAAAAAATAGTCAAAAATCAGTGCATACAGTAATCCTCACACTTGTATGTACGGTACGGTAGTCATACATCCGCAATTTCTGCAAACACAATCACGGCAGAATGCAGACCTAAATTTGCTCTGTCCCTCAATCTCTAAAAGATACTAGAAATGAATAATCTCTAGAATAATGAAGAGTCATTCAATTATGATAAGAAAATCTAGAAATTTCGGAACAAATGAGCTATGCGGTCGCAGCTGGTGATCGGTGTTTACACCTTTTACCTCGGCTACCGTAATCCTTCAGCTAACGCGTACCTCCCATAAGCTTCCCCAGGCTTCCATAGACCAAACATTGGGATGCCCGTTTCAATGTTATCATTTTTCGTCCGTCAGAAATTTTCTTACAATCTGTTGTTTATTTAAAACCAACAATTTTCAGACCACCTCATTTACTGTTGTCTGCTATTATGGATACAAAAGTTACGAAAGAATCACATCATTGATCTACGAAGGAGAGTCAGCGTACACCAGGAATCTACAGAAACAATTATACAAGGCGCTGGTTGTGCAGGTAAGGAAAACGCGCTCCAGCGAACACGAGAAATTTTGCTTCTACTTTTTCGGTGGCTGAGTTCTGAACGTTCTGTTTAGTAGTGACTTTTGCGGTTAGAAAAGTGGAAAAAAAAATGAAATTTCTGGTTAAAAATTCATAATGTTTCATTAATATTTTATCAATAAACTGTTACTGCTTGGAGATAAAACGTAGATGACAACTACAAAATTAAAGCTCTATTTTAGTTTAATATACCTAAAAACGTTAATTTTTATCTAACAAAACCTTGTAGACATTGAAAGTTGGCAATTTTCCACCAAAAAATAAGTAAATTCGTTTTGATCGATTTTTTTGCAGGCAATTATCCCAACCGTCCTAATGTATGCTCCAGTTGGTTCCTATCTAGTCCTTCCATTCTTCGGTGTCAATATTGCTCCATTCAGTAAACTTGTCACTTTTGTGTACGCTGCTTATCCGGCAGTTGATCCACTTCCATTGATGTTTATCATTGATAATTATCGGAATGCTATATCGGGTGAGTATTTCATTTAGCTCGCTTGCTGTAAGATATATCAAAAAGTAGTTAACTGACAAAATATTATTGATATTCAGATAAACCATTTGTCAGTTGACCACTTTTTGATATCTTTCACAGGAAATGAGATAAATTGGCTCAAAGTTAGAGGGTCAGGTTTAACGGAAGTGTAAATTCTTAAAAAACGAAAAAACGTTTTTACCTCCTAAATATGTTGTTTAAACTGTGGCATTAAAAATGTACAATTCAAAATACCGTAAACACTCTAATATATAGCCCCTCCTAATTGAACGCCACCCTCTAACAGAACGTTCTCTGAGCTGTGCTCCAAAATAAAGAACGCCACCCTCCAATTGAATGCCACCTCTAGAATGCTACCTCAAAAAATAATTTACGATAAACCAGATTATTGAATTGTTGCTTTTTAGAGAGGGTTGGCCACATTGTGAAATGCGCAAGTAGATGATTTTATGACTTTATATCTTGATTATTTCCCACTTTTCGTATTTTCTCAAAATATTCTGAGCATCATCCAAATCTTTGCAAAAAACTTAAGTAACGAATAATAGAGTGCCACCCTCTAATTGAATGTCACCCTCTA